CGAGCCCCCCCCCCCCCCCCACCTTAGCAGCGCTAGAAGCTTTACAGTTTTGTCAAAGTCTGTGGGTCTTGACTAGTCCTGTAGGATCTTCTATATTAATTATTGGGTGTCTCTTAATTTAGATGTGACTGCTATCATATTTGTGGTGGCCAGCAGTAGCTACAACATGGTTATACGAGAGGACAATCAGACCAATCGGCTTCAAGAAGCACTAAACCTCTTCAAGAGTATCTGGAACAACAGGTCCATGAATTGAAGTTTGATCATTAATTTCATACACGCTTGTAATCCTGCATTATATTTATGAAGTTAAACTTTGTTACAAGTTGGCCCATTTTCTGCTTGATGTGGCCCAGTCAATCATTGTCTTTAATCACTATAATAGGACTGTTTATATTAACACTGTTATACTCTAATTAAAACTATAGAAGATAGAAAAATGGTAATCATAATATGGTAGGAAGAGGATTTGGCATAAATTGTTGTAGTCATTGATTATAGTCTCTAACGCAGCAGTTCCCAATCTGTGGTACGGGGACCACCAGTGGCACGTGTTAACAGATTTATTATACTTGCTTTATACGACAAAAAAATTGCTGATGGTACTTAAGGTTGTATAATTTTAAATTGATGGTGTACAATCTGGCAGAGTTTGGGAACCACTGCTCTAAAGTGTAGTCCATGATGTTTCTTTGAATTTTTTTTAATCCCAGGTACGTGATCTAACAGTGTTTGCCTCCATCTTTCTGCAGGTGGCTACGGACCATTTCAGTAATTCTTTTCCTGAATAAACAGGATTTGCTAGCAGAGAAAGTTTTGGCAGGGAAATCCAAAATTGAAGACTACTTTCCAGAATTTGCTCGCTACACTACACCAGATGATGGTAAGAACATTTGTCTCCTTTTAGCTAAGCTGTATCATGAAATTAGTGCTTCCCTGAGCTGTAGTGTATGTTAGTTACATGTAGAATTTTTCTTGGATTCTGCTGTAGTTCATTTTGAGTTGAGCAAACTTATGAAATAAAAGGGGTTACTTTTCAGGTGAACTGCAATGTCAAGTATTTACATACAAAGAAGGGACTGTCATTAGGACCTATAGACAAACAAATATTTATCATCTCTGCATGCTATCATTTTATTACACATTTTGAGGCTGGACTGCACTGCAGCCTCAGAGTAATGGTGGCTTGTCGCAGTACTCGGAGGTGCAGGATAGGGGTGTTGGTGGGTTTTGACAGAACTAGAGTTTATTTGTCCTTTTCCCTGAAGTGGTTGGTAGCAGAGAGTTCAGACAGTTAGAAGTGTCAAAAGGTCTGCCTCTTTAAAGGGAATCTCTAAGAAAGCTTTATCTTGTACAATTGTATGGTTCTTTAGCAATATACGTACTACAGCCCATCTCTTTTTTGATAATCAGTCTTCCTTTGCTTGCAAGCAGAGTAATGCAGCTCAACTCAGTCAGTGGTAGTAACACTTTAAATGGTGATACAGCTTACCTGTTGGTTCCTTGCAGAAAACTATATTTACACTAGTATTTCCTGAAATACTGGTATTGTGGGCATTGGAATTCTCTTGCTTTCCTGGAGGTTTTTTTTGTTTGTTTTAACTAATCTGTTTTGCCTAATAATCTGTATTGAGAAAGTTATTCCTATTGCATTTGAGTAGAAAACAAGAGCTGATTCAAAAGTGTATGGTCCTTTGGTAAGTAATGATTTTTAAGACTTGTTGCCTTGAAACTTATGCTTTAACAAGACACTTACTGTATTATTATTGTTGTTAATCAGCAACACCAGAGCCTGGTGAGGATCCCAGAGTTACAAGGGCCAAGTATTTTATTAGAGATGAGTTTCTTGTAAGTAATTATTTTCCTTGGTATTACTTATACATGGTTTTTACCATACACTTAACTGTTTTACTATCACAATATTGCTAGCCTACTTTTGCCAGTGTTTCATATTTAACCTTTGTGCTGCTTAACTGTTCAGGTAGGGGTCTGTAGGGCTTTACGGAGGTTTTAGTTAAAACTGTTTAAAAACAAGGGTTTTTTTAAAATAAGATAATCAGATTCTCAATTTGTGAGAATCTGTAATCCTTAAACTGGGGGAAACGTGTGAAATCTTTCCTCCATTGACATTGGTGGGGATTGGATTTCGCATAGCATGTCATTTCTAAAAGGAAAGGCGGTTCAAGTCAATGTAACGGCCGCTGAATATTGGCATTTCCCCTTCAGTATTCATCACCTCACTGCTCAGTTGATACTTTGAATATAAATGATTTGTTTTACGTATTTTACAAGTACCAGAAATGGATTTCATTGCTATGTAGATACAGAGTATTGCACCAAAAATTGGGACTAAAGTACTTTGAACAAAACAAAATACTGAGACAGACTGCGGGTTGTAAAGAGGGGCTAATGGTTCACATGTTGAGGCAGAATTCAGTCTGCTGCATGCATAAATTGTTGGCTGAGTTCCCAAAAGTGGCGCATAAACTTTTCCTATAAATATAATTTGGTGAAGTCCTCTTATTTTGTAGTTCTGTTGCAGTCCCAAGCATTCAACACCCTTCTCCACATGCAGCCCTTTATCCTACAAGTTATATCCTTTGGGGGAAATACTAATCTCATTGAAGTGCAGGAAAGTTTTGTCTCTGACTTGACTGGAATAAGGATTTTCCCCTTTGAAAACACAGCATGTGTGCATGCATGCTCACAGTCAGCTGAGGCTTGGGAACATTGCTTTTTCCACTCAGTGTATTTTAACACAGTTTTTCTGTATTGTTCGTACAGAGAATCAGCACAGCAAGTGGAGATGGAAGGCACTACTGCTATCCTCACTTCACATGTGCAGTGGATACAGAAAACATCCGGAGGGTTTTCAATGACTGTCGGGACATTATTCAACGGATGCACCTTCGCCAATATGAGTTGTTGTGATGGAGAGCGCTTTTTTCTGTGTTTTGGACTCCTTATTCCTTATTAAAAAAGAAAAACAAACAAAAAACACAAAATAAACAAAAACAAAAAACCCTTGCCCACATAGGGTGGAAGAAAACTGTTGCAGTCTCCCTCTGATTTGCACCCCTCGACTTTTTTCCTTGCTGGACAGTAGCAGCACTTCTAAGCTTGCTTGTGTCCCCCTCGGACAGTTGGAGATGGCCCCTAAACTTAAAGGCCGTTTCCTTGGGGATTCCCTAACACTGTTATTAACAAAAAAAAAATTTAATAATTGTAAAGCCCTGAATCTGGAGTGCCTGAAAGAATTGGGGATAATTTTTTTTTTAAAGTAAAACAAAAAAATTGGGGAGAGAAAACTTTATGTAATTTAGCACTGTTGTGGGCATAATCATGTAACCCATGATCTCAACTTTGTATCCATTCACTGCATCAGACAAAAGAAGGTGCCAAGTCACAGACCAAGTTTGAAGACAGACACTTCTTGAGTTTGGTTCTCTGACTGTAATGTGGCTTTGAACGGAAATACTGACAATTCTGCAAAAGACCTAGACAGTGCAAAAACCAACTGCTACCTTTCAGAAGGGTATTTTTAAATCCAGTCTTAGTGGTCTTTAGACAACCGTGGACATTATGAATTGAACTGCGTAAGGCCTGTGATTGCAGAAAGAGTTAACCACACACTGTTTTCAGTTTGTCCACTGATGATCCTGTCTGCTATAAAAATCATTATCTGGACAGTAGTCCTCACAGTCTTTCCCTTCTCTTTCTTCTTCCCTCCCCTCATTTTTTATTTTACTGCTGGATTATTATTCTTGTACAGACTGTAAAATGTATTATTTTGTACAACTTTATTGAAAAAAATAACTTGTAGAAGATCTTTGTGCCTTGATTATGGCTGTACCTGTACAATGAGCTAAGATGTAAGTATGTTTGATTGCGCTGTACAGCTTTGTCAACCCTATCTGCAGCATTAGCTCAAGGTAGGGAAAATTTATCTGTAGTTTAGTTTTTCTGGTTTATAAAAGAAGGAAAAATACTGTTTAGTAAAAAAAAAAAGAAAAAAAAAGTACAAAGTGTGCAAACTTAACCACTTTAAAAGTGAGGTCTTCAACAAGTGACCAGATGTTGCAGCATCATGCTTTTTAATTTTTAGCTTTAATTCATTTAAATCTCTATCCAAATGCAAAACATGGCTTGTTTCTACATAAACCAAATTTTGCTACAAATTATAAATGTTAGTGTTTGGTCATTCATAATCCTTTTCGCAAAAGACAAAAAAAAACCAGAACAAAAACAGACACATAGGCATCATGCAGGTCTGGTGACCATCTGTAGACTGGGCCAAATACCCCACCAACCTCCACTATACTGCGTGGGCATAATACTACCAGAATGACAAGGTGTGCACTGCCCTTGGATTTGGCCACTGAATTCCAGTTTCAAATGACATTTTTATTTCTCTTTTAATAAAGAGATACCTTAGAACCTTTTGTTTTATATTAACTATGTAAGTAGCTTAAAGTGAAGATGTGTGGATTTTTTTCTTAAACTTGAATAATTTATGCAAATTATATGCTTAGAACAACATGTGGTACAGTAAAAAGAAAAAGAGCAAAAATCACTGTAGCAATAAGAGAGCATGTAATTTTAGTAACTACTACACTGCTTTATATTTTATACCTAGGTGTTTTATGTCTCTGTGAGTGTGTTACTTTTTCATGTGTCTAAACCTTCGTGTACAATTTGTACAAAGTCAGAAATTACAGCTGTAATAACACGTCTAGCACAGTGTTAGCCTATATTACTCAAGCACCTCTCTTCCCCTCTGCCCGCACCCCTAACTCAATCTGGTTCGTTATGCAGCAAATTTGAAACAAACTTCCCTCTT